AGTGCGCTGACCCAGGCGCTGCAGCGCTCGCTGGCCAAGTACTCAGAGCTTGACCTTGAGGACGACTTCTTCGAGGCCACCGAGGCCCCTGACATCCAGCGTGAGCAGCCAGGCCCCCCAGGATGGGTGTGCCTGGCCAGAGCAAGGGCGGTGGGCTGAGGGACCTGCAGCTGCCGCAGAAGACATCCACGGTGGGCCCTGCAGGGGAGCCTGTGCTGGCACACTGCCCTGCCCCCTGCCTGCCCTTCCCCACTCAGTTCCTGCCCCTGGGAAGCTGCAGCCTGGTGACGATGCCCACAGACTTGCCTCCCAGCAGCTGCACTGCCCCAGGCTCCTCCCTCTAGGGGGGCAGCCAGGCCCTGGAGGTCTGCACAGGGAAGACCATGCCCCGTGTCACCTGCTCTGCTCTGGCAAGCTGCGTCCCAGGGCTCTGGGGCTTCGGAGCCTCTGACTTAGCCCCGCCCTCCTTCACCTTTGCCCTTTCAGCTAAGACGCACCAGAGGCCAGAGGTTAGGGCACCCAGCTTCTCCCGGGTGAAGGTGGCTGACATCTTCCACCGGCTGGTGAGCACCCCCTTCACAAGCAACCCCCTCCAGCATAGCTGGGCTCTGCCTGGGTTGGAGGGGGCCCCACAGGAGTGGTCCACCCTGCCTAGCCCCTCTATGGCCCCTCATTGGTTTCAGCCCCAGGACGTGGAGCCTGGGGTAAGGATACTACAGGCCAAGAGCCCTCCAAGCATGGCAGCCCTGCCAGACCCCCTCTGACCTCTGAACTCCCCCCACCAGGGACCCCTGTCCGTGTTTTCAGCCAAGAACAGCTGGCGGCTGGTGGGGCCCATCCACGTGACCCGAGGAGAGGATGGCTTTGGCTTCACGCTGCGGGGAGACTCGCCTGTCCTCATTGCTGCTGTCATTCCAGGGGGCCGGGCTGCAGTAAGTGCCCCGACCCGAACCCAGTCCCAGGCAGAGTCCCTGGGCTGGGGCCAAGGCAGCTTGTGTGAAAGGGGATGATGAGACTGGCCAGAGGTGGCGGGGTGCCTGTGAGGGACTCCCAGATGGTCCCCATCTCCTTGCAG